CACTTCACCTGCTCTCAATTCCCGTAATTGAAGAAGGTGGCTGGAGGTAATCTCAGGCTGTAAAATTTCCCAAGGCTAGTCTAGTGTGGCTGGGCAATGGGCGGGTCCTTGAGCTCTGGGAGCAATGATCTTAACACAATGTCCCGGGCTCAGGATGGCATTCGGACTCATCCCAGCCACCAGCTGAGTTTCCTGGTTCCTGGTTCCAGAGAAAGGTCGCTGAGCATGTCCTTGGCAGGCCTGAAATCCGCCAGGCAAGGCAACCTAGTGTGGCTGGGTTCTGGGCGGGCCATGAGCTCCTTTTGTTTTATTTTTAAAAAATATTTATACTTTGGTTTTCTCATATAAGTTTTGTGATATTTAAACTTGTGTATCTGGTTTGTTTCACTTACCATTATAGTCTCAAGGTGCTTCTATTTTCCTGCAAATGACTCCAATTTATCCTTTATGGCAGAGCAGTACTCCATTATATATAAATTCTATGTTTTTAAAATCCATTCATCTGTTGACAGACATGTAGGCTGTTTCCAAGATTTAGCACATTTTGTGCTGTTATAAACTTATGTATGCAATCCTGCTAATGAGAACTGATACTAGGCTAGCCCCAAGTATAGCATACTGTTGTAGCATAGTGTCTTTAACTCTTTGGGGAAGAGACCTACAAGGGGAATATCTGGCTTTCACCATGTGTCTAGTTTTAGTTTTCTGCAGGCAGAGACCAGGCTGGAGCTCAGTGGAGAGAGCTTGCTGAGCCTGTAGTAGCCATAGACTCCACCCCCAGGACTCAGAGAAATGAAGAAACAAAATGGCTCAGTTTGCACATGTTTTCTAATTCATTGCTGTTGAGAGCTGGAGCCCTATTGTTATGGTTTGGGTATAGATGCCCCTCCCAACCCCATGTAGTCATAGGTGTGGCTTTTTCAGAGGTGGCTGGGTCTAGAGAGTGTGCTGCTGGGATTAAGGGTGTGTGATTATTAAATCAGTCCACTGCTTGGTTTGGCACCAGCCTAATCTTGGTAGCCTGGACACAATATAGGGGACAGAAAGGCTTGTCTTCTACCTCTTGCTAGCTTTTGCTGCCTTTTGCTGGCCATGAGCTGTTTCTCCTCTGGCTAGCCCTCTGCCATGTCACCCTGCCTTGGAGCCAGCCAATTATGGACTGAAACCTCCACAAACTGTGAGCTAAATAAATCTTTTCTCCTTAATGTTGGGTGTTTTATCTCAGCAATGAGAAAAGTAACTAAGATACCAGTGTATGCCAGTATCACCCTGCCACAAACATGCTGTATCTTCAGATGAGCATGGGAGGTCTCTGAGTGGGCTCTCCCCCCAGTGTAGAGTGACACTGGTGATCAGAAGACTGGATGCAGAGGGCCCCACTGCCCACAGTTAAACCTCTTAGTGCCTTCCTGCTTGAAGCCGTGATTATCTGTCTCACAGAGTAGAAAGGAGCCATGGCAATGTGGGTGATCACATTGCCATGGACCAAGGCCCAGCACTGGTCTGCCCCCTGAGCACTCTCATGGGCAGATCCTGTGCTGTGGTCCCCACATGCAGGACTCCAACTCTGCATAGTCCTGTGTGCCTCACTTACAAATGCAAGAGCCAGGGAATCATTGAGCCTGGATTTGAACTTGTGTTCTTTGGGGTCCAAGTCCCCACATTTCTACCTGCTAAACATGGGCCCCTCCTCCAAAAGGTGGGTCTTTTCTGGGCTTGAAAAGCCCTCAGTGCTGACTTTGAGAGGAGGCAGCTGCATCTTTCATCCCAGCTCAGGAACCCTACCACATCTCTGGAGCAATTCCAAGGCAGCTTCCTGTCCCTCCAGGCCCAGTTCCCTCACCTGCCTGAGGTGGGGATGCCCATCAGCATCAGAGCCAGGTGTTGTGAGTGTCAGATGATGGCAGGACCAGGACAAGAATGGAATAGGTGTGTGCACCTGGGCTCTGGAGGGAGCAGATAGAGTGCTGCTATCCTCTTTGAGGCACATCACAGGAGCCCTCTCCATGTCCTCTCTCTCTTCTGTGGCCAGGGCCCCCTTTCAGGGCACAGGATCTGCTTGTACAGATCTGAGCAAAGGTCTTCTGGCCCACACCTGCCCCCTCAGATCTTTGGACCTAGGAGCAGTGGGCCTCTGAGGGCACAGCAGGACAATGGCTGGAAGCACAGGCGACAGAACTTGTGGGTTTAACCTGCACACTGTCCTCTCTGCTTCCCCCCACAAGATACCACATTGTAAGGTGTTGGAAGGAACACGGCTGCCCTTCCAGCCTGTGGGGAGCATAAGTGTGGTTCAGGGCTCTGGTGAGGTCCATTCCATTACTGAGCTTCCTCTAGGGCCTCTGGGACAAGTCCAGTGGATCACTCATTCGGATGGATGGAGGCACTGAGGCTGGCTCATGGACCTGAGTTGGGCAGGTGCAGCTTGGCCCCGAGGCTAGGCCATAACCGGCCAGCCACGAGGTGGCAGCTTATGTTAAACACAAATCAAGTACATTTGACTCCCCACAGCCTGTCTCTGTCCCTGAGCCTTGTGGGTGTGTGTGTGAGGCTGATGTGGGCAGAGGATCCTGGCATCATGGGCCCCAGGACACTGCTAATGGGGCCCGGCCTCAGGGAGGAGGTACGTGGGTCATTCAACCCAGGAGCTTCTCTCTCTTCAACCCAGAGGGGCATGAGCAGCCACTGAGCCAGAGCCACTGCCCTAAGCCAAGTCCTTCCTTTCCCTGGGAAGTCCAAGTCCTGCATCAGAGCCCAAGTGACCCAGCACATCTGCAGCTGCAGGGACAACAGGGCCTCCACTCACATCGTAGGTGTTTCCACACAGACATGTGAATTGTATGCTTGTTTTTAATTAAAGAAACAGCCGTTGGGGCTTTGGGCACCATGAAGGGAAGAAGCTGGAAGGTCTTAGCCAGTGCTCAGTGACAGTGTCTACAACAACAGGGTACAGGGAGGTGAAGTTTCTATGTGGAGTCATAAGTCCCAGTTTTGAGCACAAAGGCTTTGCTCTGGTTCCCTCCGTCATTCAGAATTTAGGGACAGATACTGGAGATGGCCCCTCAAGACCAAAAGTCCACAAGTGGAAAACACATTCTACATCAGCACCATAAATATGTGTGTCACACAGGCCCAGCCCAGGACAGCTGAGCCACAGAGCGTGTGAAGAGACCTAATGGATTTCTCAGGGTGCAGTCTCGGTAAAAACCAGAGAAGAGGTGGGGCTCATGCCCATGGCAGAGCAGGGCAGCCCTGAAGCACTGTGATGGGCCGGGCCTTGTCTAGGGGGTACAGAGGCTCATCCTCAGAGCCCAGCACTGGAAGATGGGGTCAGAGGAGGAAACTGGAGGTGAGAGGTGAGGGACTTGGGGCCGGGGAGCTGGGACCCAGGGGCGACTGACTTTAGAGGCCATGCTTTAACCACTCTGTTCTTTTCCTGCACTCTCTGAGGCAGGTGGCTTGAGGGTCAGAACGAGACAGAGTAACATGAGGGTAGGCAGAGAGTGGTTCTCATGAGACAGAACTCTGTGCTGCTCCTCCAGGATGGACACTGTCTCTCAGAGGCCGCTTGCTGCTGCATTGGGGGTGAACTTCACATTTACACCATGGAGTAGGAATTTCATACTGGTTCCCATGCCATGAAGTGATGCTCTTTTGATTTTTTTCAGTCTTAAACACTGTCAAAACCATTGTTAACTCAAGACCTCAGCAAAAGAGGGGGAAACCTAGAGTTAGCCTGGGACATTAGACACTCCCCATCCCAGGATGTCAGATGCAAAGAGCTCTGGTCTCATTCTGCCTTCAACTTTTTCACAGATGGTGGGAACCCAGATGGTCTCAGGGAATGGGGTTGGGGAGCCCACAGAGCAGTGAGGTGAGCAAACAGGGGAGTCATCAGTGTGAAAGGAGGGTTGGGCCACCACAGTAAGCCTGGATGAGGCTGTTTAAACTCAGTTTTCAGGGCCCATCTTCACACGACAGAATGTAATTGTTGTGTTTTGGAGTTTGTTTGTTTTTGTCTTTGAGACATGGTCTGGCTGTGTAGTTCAGACTGGCCTTGAACTCACAGCCATCCTCTTGCCTCAATCTCCTGAGTGCTAGGATTACAGGTATGTACCACCATGCCCAGCCTGCAACTGTTGTGTCTTAACAAGAGACACTTTACTAGCTGGGTACTGTCATTTGAGTGTGTCCTTAAAGCTCCTGGGTAGAAATTTAGCCAGTCATGGTGGCACCCACCTGTAATCCCAGCACTTGGGAGGCTGAGGCAGGAGGATTGTTGCAAGTTTGAGACCAGCCTGGGCTACAAAGTGAGCTCAAGGCCAGCCTGAACTGCATAGTGAGACCCTGTTTCAAAAAAAGTAAAAAATAAAAAAGAAAAGAAAAGAAAAGAAAAAGAATAAGGAAAGAAAAGAAAGGAAACTTAATGTGTGCATTCATATGTGGATAGTGCCTGGAGTGGGCTGTTGGGAGGTCATTAGTGTGGCCTCAGGTGGCATGGGTGGCTTTGTAAGGAGGCCTGAGCTGGTACACTTGCCCTGCCTTCCAGGTGATGCCCTGTGACGCCAGGACACAGCAGATGCTGGACCTTGATGCTGGATTTATAGGCCTCCAGAATCATGCGAAATAGTTATTCTCTTTTCGGATTACCCAGGTAATGACATTTTGCTAAGGTAGATTTAGACCCAGCGTGACTTCTAGCAAATGAACTCTGTGCCTTGTTTTTCTCACCTTTAAAATACGGAAAACATGGTTCTTCTCTTGTGGAGTGTTAGAGGACACTTCCACCCAGAGCCAGGCACACTGTAGTGGCCAGGAAGCGTCCCTGTGATGCCCACTGCTGCCAGTCTAAAGCTTGTGCTTCTGCCACATGAGGCTAGAGGCTGAGTGCTGACCTGGCACCATCTTGGCTACTGTGGCCCTGCTTCTGCATCATGGCTCCACCACTGAGTGGCAGTGCCTCTGAGCCCACAGGCTCTCCAGTGTGGGTACCAACTTACCTTCGTTGTTCTCACCAGGCGGGTGGTAGAAGGACAGTCCTAGGGAGATGATGGCCGCGATTTCCAGGATGATGAGAGTCACGTCCTGCAGTGCTTCCCACACAAGCTGCAGGAAGGTTTTTGGCTTCTTTGGAGGTATAAAGTTTTGCCCAAAAATCTGCTTTCTTTTTTCCAGGTCTGGAGCAGTACCCGGCAAACCTGAGGACAGAGTTGGGCAAGGTTGGCCGTGGGGTTTGGATGACACAGGCGTGCACCCCCCAGGTTTCAGGCGAGTCAGGAACAGGAGAGAAATCTGGAGCACCTTGCCCAAAAGCCTGGCATCTCCAAGTGCTTTGGAATGTGTGGGCTCCTGTAATGCCAGAGAACCAAGTGGGGGCCGGATAGTAGCCCCTGAGAGATATAGGTGCCCCTGGACTCACAGCAGGGTTCCAAGCAGACCATCCCATGGCAAGGTGAAAAGAGTGTAGGCTGAAAGTGTGTTTTGTCCTGCAGGGTGACACTGACACAGAGGCAAGATCTGTGAAAAGGTGTAAGTGTGGACCAGGGTGAGGCTGCTCAGGCAGAGGGACAGTGGGAGCCAGCAGGAGCAGAGCAGTCAGGAAATGCGTCTTGAAGTCTAGGAAGCCTTTGGACTTCTGGCTATCAGAGCTGGGAGAGAACAGCTGCCCAGGAGTCGTGGCTGATATGGCAGTTGCAGGAGGTCACCCACCCTCTGCTCCTCTGGGTTCTTGCTCCACTGTGTCAGCTCACACTCCCAGCCAGCACAGCACAGTGACTAAGCATTTCATTTGCTTTTCCATGATGGCCCCCGCTGGGCTCTGCATCCCAGCCTCTCTGAGCCTTTGTTTCCTCTCTGCAGCAGGGAGGTAATGAGTGGCTCATGGAGTGGTCACGAGTCTCAAATAAGGTAATCATGTCAGCATCAATCATTCATCTAGCAACTATGAAGGCCTAGTACGATAGGTGCCAGGACCAAGGGAGGCAACCCCTTGGACAGCCTCCCCACAGGTACATCTGTGAGGTCTCTCTTTTCCTGAATGAGAGCAGTGAGGACAGCTAGGCACAGTCCTGTCCTGGAACTGAAATGGAGCACTAGGACCCCACGACCCCCCCATCCCTCCAGCAACCCCTCTGGCCTCCGTTGCCTTGCAGCTCTGGGAAGTGCCTCATTGTCTTAGATAGAATCCCTGCCTGCCACTCCAGCCTTGGGATCTAACTTCCAGGCTATAATTACAGCCTCCTCTTTCATTACTTGGCTTTATCCCAGCCACACCAGGAGAGCCCCAGTTGACGCCCTCTTTCTTTTTTGGGGGGAATGGGGGTGCTGGGAATTGAACTTAGGACTTCGTACTCGAGCACGGAGCTATATCCTACTATCCATGATGCCTACTTTCTCCTGCTACTATCTGTTTGTGGGGGTCCTCTGCTGTCCCCACTGGCCTGTCTGTCTCCCCTAAACTCACTTGCATCAAAGTAGGGGTGTTGACCAAGTGACAAGTCCAGATAAGGCAGAGCTGGCCCTCATGGGGGGACCTCATAGGTACATGGCAGGGGCAGCTTCAGGGAAATGACTGCTGCACCTGCTTGTCCATGGGGACCCTTGGAGCACAGTGCTGTCCCCTGCTCCTGGCCTTTTTTCCGTGTGACCCTGTGCCACTTGTATTGTTTGTTTTCCATAGCAGTGTCCTGGTATCCTCCCACCTCTGATCCTCCCAAGCTAGAGATCCTTTCTTCCTGTCTACAGAACTTCCCTGAGAGCAGCCCTTCTGTCCAGCGGCATCTTGTCCTGTCCCTAGGTTCCAGGGCCCAGGGGCCCAGGGGCCCAGGACTTGGACTCTCCCATGTGGAGGAGGCCAGGGTCCCCCATCTCAGCCTTATGCAGACCAAGTACCTAGGATGTGTGAAATGGGAGGCTGCAGCCACTCACTTGGCCCACTAATGACTATGTGACTGTGGGCTGAGCACCCCAGTAGCCAGGCATTGTCCTAGGAGTCGGGGCTGTGGCAGCTGACGGGAGGAACCTGGATACTCATCATGCTGCCTTCCTCCCCAAGCCTGCCTGGCAGCTCAGCACTGAATTTGCAGCTCCCTCTCAGAGCTGCGCCAGGGGACTTGGTGACGTGGTAGACAGGCACCATGTCTAGAAATTTTCATTGTTTCTCTTATCTTTCCCTCATCTGGATTCCCTCTTAAGTCATTTTAAATCTTATGAATCAAACTTATAAACTGCCTGGAAGGTAGGTTCGATTAACCCAAAATAAAGCGCAGGTGGTAGTGGGGAGGTTAGCTCAGTGGCATAAATGCCTGCCTGGCAAGTATGAGGTCACAAGTGTGATCCTTGGTACAAAAAAAAAAAAAAGCAAGGGTACTGGGGCTGGTCAAGGTCAGTGGTCAACGTGAAGGAGGGGGATAAGGCCATGAAGATGTTCAAAGTGTGGCTCATTCTCCATCCTCCTGGTACTGAGGGAGCGGGGCTGGTGTTTCCCTTCCCATATTTGGGGTGCCTCACACCAATGGGCTGGGCTCTGTGAGAAGTCCCTGGGCGTAGCGGGTACAGTACTGTGTCCTCTTTCTTGATGACCACATAGCCTCTCTCTTAAGTGACCTCGATAGCTTGTTCCCTATTATGGTCTGTGTCTGGAGTCACCCCAGTGCCTCATGCAGTCATGGAGGATGGGCCTTTTGAAGGTGGCTGAGTCTAGCACTTGTGACTGGTTCATTGTCTAGTGCTGGGATTGGCATGTCCCCAGGGGTGGGTGGCCTGCATACAATACAAGAGACAGAGACGAGTCTTCTCAGCATGCTCTTCTCCTTTTTGCTCTTGTTGCTTTTGTTGTCTTCTTTCACCATTAACTGTTGCCCTCTGCCCTGGACCCATCAGATTATGGACTGAAACTTCCACAAACTGTGAGCTAAATAATCCTCTCCTTTCTTAATTTTGGGTGTCAGGCATTTTATCTAATCAATGAGAGAAAAGTAACCAATACACTACCTGTCTTGGGGGCCCCGGGATGCCTCCCTTGAGGCTGGAACAGAGGAAGCTCAGCTGCTGTGTTGCACAGATGTGTACAGAGTGCTGGGTCACCTACCTGGCCCCAGTCTCAGCTGCTCAAAGGATACCCCATCTGGCTTGGTTAATGTGAACTCCTAACCAGGGCCAGCCAGGGCTCTGCAGCTCTGGGATACTCAGGACACTTCAGATGAAACCGGCAGTCACAAAGGCTTTCTTGGGCAAAGCCTTCCAGGGGCATTGCTGCCCACCATGGGCACGGTTCCAGCCAGACCTGGGCCAGTAGGCACCAACAGGTGATGTGCGATTCAGCACTGGGGTAGGTAGTGCTACTGTGCATGAAGTGTGCTGAGGGTGTGGCCATGCGCTGGCCTATGTGGAGGAGCCTGTGCTGCCTCATGCCTATCGTAGGTCAGCCAGAGTGGGCAGTTTACAAAGACATCACTTCTAGGACTTGTGGAATTCACGGTAACTCAGGATAAAACAGTTAACTGGGACAGAAGGCTTGGGGCTGCCCCTCAGCACTGTGCCCTGGGGCAGGTAACTTCCCTCTCTGGGCATCTGAACCTTAGTGTCCCCACAGAGACTTACACAAGGCAGGGCCTCTGCTGTATTCATAAACACTTGCCACCTGGCGAGGATGTGCTATGATCAGCTGCTGCTGCTATGGTTATAACCCAACCTTTACAAAGTCTTGACACACGGGCTCTGACTGTGTGGCTTTGGCTGACTCAGGCTGGGTCACATTCTGGGTCTCAGGGGTCCCCAGAACTCATGCAACTTCCCAGATACAGCCAGGAGCAGGAACTTAGTTGTCACTGAAGCAGCGGCCCTAACATCACCTGGGAAACAGTTAAAGTTCAGGTTCTCCGAAGAGGCCCCTACCCTGTAGATTCAGACCTGCAGGAGGGCCTGGCCTCCCGCCCTGGGGTCAGAATGAGCCCTCCAGGGGAGACAGAGTCAGGCTCAGGGTGAAGAGGAGGGTGAGAGGAAGAGGACGCTGACCAGGAGGGCTGTGAGACCGCTGTCCCTTTGGAGCCTCAGCTCCCCTGGGGGGCAGGGGCTTCTCTGATCACACTGCAGGTGGGCACAGAGCCCAGCCCGGTTCTGGGTGTGCCTGCAGGGCTCATCTGACACCCTCACTGAAAGGTGCCAGCCACTCCCCTATTCCTGGGGCAGCAGTGAAGGTGGAAGTGGAGCAGCAGACTCAGACCAGGCCGAGGGGAAGTCAGTCTGCCCCGGCTTCCTGTCTCCTGCTGGTGGCTGCAGGGGGCAGAGGAGGACAGAAACAACATCAGAAGGTGGGCATGCAGACTGCCACCCTCCAGGTCAGCTGGGACAGTGCCCCCGCCTGCTCTACAACCTCCCATTCACTGAGCTGCTGTCTAGCTCCTCACTCACAGTGACCTCTCCGATTGTCTCACTGTCTTCCATCTCACCCCTACGGTACATACATTTTTGTCCTACCAAGCCACAGGCCTGTGCTTGTAGGCATTTGCCTGCCTCAGTCTTGGCTTACGCAGCCTGAGCCCAGGCCCATTGCTCCCCCAGCACTGACCTACTCAGTCTCCAGAGACGCAGATGGAGCTTGCTGCCTCCACTGGAAACCTTCGTGGTTTATACAACCAGAGAAACCTGCCCTTCTCCTTGCCAGAGCCTCATCCTCAGCCTGTTATTCATCTTTCATTCCTCTCACGTGTAGATCAGGTTTGAGTCCTGGTGCTGGGGTTCGCTATGATCCAGTCTCTGGTCATCGTAGTGACTGTGAGGAGGAACACACTCTTACCTCTGCTTCTATGCAGCTCTGGAGTCAGACCACGCACATGTGCGCTCCGAAATGGCATGTGGGGCTGTATGTGGCATCCAAGCATGGTGGTGAGTACGCACAGCTGCCAGCCTGCAAGTTCACCTGCAGGCCTAGGATACAATGTTCAAACGTGCAGACTTGAGCATGGGTGTGGCCGGCTGTGCCTCCAACTTGACTGCGTGTGGACACACGTTCCACGACATATGTCCACCACTCTCTTCTGAGTCAGGCTGAGTCTGAGCCTTTCTCTTCTGTGGGGATTCCTTAAGACACATCGCAGCTCAGGCTCCACTAGAAGCTTTGGAAATATCTGGTATAGTTTATATCTAGATGACCCCTGCCTCAAGGGCACATGGCCAGGGCTGTGGAGGGGACTGGCTA